GGACTTGGTGCTGGGCCGGCAGTGAGGGCATCAAGGCACGGTGTGCCCAACAGGGTGGCCCTCACCTGGCTGCAGGGCCAAGGGGACAACAGAGCCTGGGCAGGGGCTTGGCACGGGGACGAAGAGGAGGGTGGAGTACCTGGGAATCACTGGAGACAGGGATGCCAACAGGAGTGGCAGCAGTCAGGGCCTGGCACTGAGGCAGGGGCTCCTCCGATGCCTGCAGGGAGGGCCGCAGGTGCTGCTGGCCCGTAAAGACATGGTCCGCAGCCGCGGGGCTGCCTCAGGGCTCCATGTCCCAGTTTCCAGGGCTCCAGGCCAGCAGGGTGAGGAGCGACCTCTCCCCCAGCTGCACACAGGCAGGCCTGTGCCAGCTCACACCACCAGCACCAGCACTGCAGGGCACCCAGCCTGGAGCACGTGCCCGGTCACCATGGCAGCAGACAGCGTGCCAGCAGGAGCCCAGGCTGGGCTCTAGCATCCAGGATCAGTGGTCTAGGCATGGCGGGGGGAGGGGCGGGGGTCCTTCCCCTTGTAGCACCAGAGGGGCCAACTGGGTGAGAGGGAGGGGAAGGGGGACCCTGCGGCGCCAGGACTGCCCGTCCACCAGCACCTCAGAAAGGGAACGATTTCCTGAGGGCTCTCAGGAAACCTGAGGGCGGACACCAGGGGCCGGTGGTGGCGCATGGCTTCCTGGTCCTGCCCTAGCTGGCCTCGCACTGAGAGGGATGGAGCCTGAGGCTCGGGCCTCAGGGGAGGCTGTCGGAGGATTCTGATGGCTGAGGCACTCCTTGTCCTCTGGGCTCAGGCGAGGCCAGGAAAGCTGTCACAGCTGGCTGCTCCCTGGACCAGGGGATTGGGGGTACTGCTACCCCGAACAGCCTCTCAGTGCCCACCAGGACAAGGCACCCCCTCCTAGGTGCAGACCTCAGCTTTGGCCTCACTGGGCGTGGGCTTCCACCCACCAGCGTCTGAGGTGGGTGAGGGTGGGGCGTGGAGCTCTCCCCACAGTGCAGCCTGCACAGGTCAGGGTGGCAGGTGCGTGTGTACCCCCTGTGAGTGGTTGCATGGTACCTCTGGAGGTGTGACCACAGGGCTTGGTGGGGGTCAGTGGGAGGGGTGCTCCCTGTTGCCTGAGAACGCTGCGGGGGGCTAGAGCGCCCCAGCCCACCACATGCTCTTTTGAGTTGTGTATGTCTGGAGTATGAGTGGGACCCTGGAAACAGCCTCCCTTGGGCAGTGTACAACCTGGGCTCCCTGCTGGGCAGCCCTGAGTGGGCTCTCAGGCTGGGATCCAGGATGACACTCCCAGGGTCCAGAGCTGGCCCAGCAGCTGGCCCTGCTGGCAACCTTTGCCCACCCTCGTCCATGAGCACCTTCACACACACGCACACCACACTCGTACACATGCATGACGCTGCACCCATTGGCAGAGGCTCAGTCCATCACACAAGAACCTGGCCCTGTGCTGGGGTCTCAGCTACTCAGGAGGTCAAGGTGGGAGGATTGCCTGAGCCGAGGAGGTCGGGCTGCCATTGGCCAAGATAGCACCACTGCACTCCAGCCTGGGTGACAGAACAAAACCCTGTCTCTAAAATAAATAAAAAAGAACCAGACGGCCAGGCACGGTGGCTCACGCCTGTAATCCCAGCACTTTGGGAAGCCGAGGCAGGTGGATCACCTGAGGTCAGGTGTTCAAGATGAGCCTAGCCAACATGGTGAAACCCCATCTCTACTAAAAATACAAAAATTAGCCGGGTATGGTGGCACACACCTGTAATCCCAGCTACTCAGAGGCTGAGGCAGGAGAATCGCTTGAACCCAGGAGGCAGAGGTTGCAGTGAGCCGAGATCACGCCACTGCACTCCAGCCTGGGCGACAGAGCAAGACT